CACTGAAATGGTACAGCAAACCCAATTTTATGCTTTTGGAACCCGCATTGAGTTTTTTTGCTTATGTTGCAATCGCTTATAAAGTGACTACAACGTCTTCTGTTCTCTCAATTACAGGTCAAAGTGGACGGATGGAGCTCCCTTGGAGCCTCGAAGGAGGGCTGGAAAAGCAAAAGAAATAAAGGTGATCTCAGAAAACCTAACTGGAAAGTCTACTCTCCTTATACGGGACTCCATCACGAAAAACATGGAAAGGTTTGCCCCCAGCTACCCCTGATTTTTCCCCGCTTCCAGTGTTAAACGTAGGCATCGCGGGCAACAATGTGGAAGCAATCCTTTACAGAGTTGAGGTAATGAACATCCCCTCCTCTGTGTCTAACATCTCTCTCCTCTGTGGCACTAATAATTTATGTTCACATTCTCCTGCCACTATTTCTTCCACACTTACTGAAATTTTATTTTTACTGTGACGAAAGTGTCCAACTGCACATATCCATTTATTTCCAATTTTACCACAATTCGATCACCTTCAAACACACGTTGCTGCTACTAACTCTCGTATTTATTTTCAGGTGCAAGAATTGTTTCCAGAATTTGTTTTTTACCATGAACTGCCATCCACCCTATTTAATCCAAATTTGTACAGGCCTGATAAACTCCATCTTAATGCAAAAGGAAATGACATTCTGGTCAGGTGGTTTCACCACAGCCTAACCAGGTCAACCCCAAACAAACCTGAACCAAACACACCCCCCATGCCCTCCCTGCAAGATGTTCCCTCTCCTCTCATTATCACAGATAGTGATTGGCCTCCCTTACCTGCCCCATCACAACCCTCCAACCCAACTATACCATGCAGGTACAGCAAACAAAGTTCGACTCCCCCTGCATATACCCTTACCAGTTCCAAGCCAGGTCCTAAACCTAGCCCTACCCAATTTATCTCCAATGTTCTCCAAAATCCCAGCCCTACAAAATGCAGCTCCATTGCCAAACCCTGCTATACCAAATTGAGCTCTAAATCTAGGCCCAGCCAGCCCAGATCCAAGATCAGCCTTAACCAGCCCAGCTCTTGCCAAGACGGTCCAAAACCTACCTCTAGCCAGCCAAAACAGAAATTCAGCTGCCCTAAACCCAACCCAAAATCCAACCCTACCCAACCAAGACATAAAGTCAACCGTACCCTGCCAAATCCAAAAAAAAACCCTACCCAACACAATAAAAAAGCTAGCCGGGCTCCCCAGCCTAGTACAAAAAGTAGCCCCACCTATCCCACCCTGAAACGTAGCCTTACCCACCCCAGTACAAAGCCTAGCCCTGACCAGCACAATCAAATACCAAGGCCTAACCAACCAAGTCAAAACTCCGGCCCTACTCAACACAGTAAAACACCTGGCCCTACCCAACCCAGTAACAAACTTAGCTCTACCAAGCCTAGTAAGAAACCATGTTCTACTCAACCCAGCCAAAAATGTTGTGCTACCCCTCCCAGTCTAAAACCTTACCCTGCTCAGCCAAGTCAGAAACCATGTTCTAGCAAATCCAGCCAAAAGCCTTGTTCTACCTATCCTAGACATAAATCTAGCCCTACTCAACCCAGTCATGACCCTATCTATACTCCGTCCAGTGAAAAACCTAACCCTACCCAACCCAGTCAAAATCCCAGCTATACCCAGCCCAGTGAAATACCTAACCACACCAAACCTGAACAAATGCCCACCCAACATCACTCTGAAAGTAAGCCTGATGCTTCTCTGCCAAAAGCAGATGAAGATGAAAGTCAGATCATCAGATGCCAGGTTTTCTCCCAAACAAACTACATGTATTCTACAATTACCCAGTGGTACAACATTGTTTTTGTTATATTTACAGCTTTGCTTTCCTTTTTTTCTTCTGGTTACTCTGGCACAGTGTGACATTGTCTTCCTTGCATAGATACTCCCTTTTCCAATCATAATAACTACAGCTCTTTTTTCAGTTTGTTTTATAGACATGTCACACCCTGCAAATGCTGATCAAAATTGCAAAACAGATAAGACTGAAAAAAAATCAAACAAACAAATCCAAGAGAACAAACTGTCATCAAACAATGAAGATAAACTACCGGTAAATGAACAAATCATCTGTCACGAAGATTCTGCATTTCTATTGTAACTTTTATAACAGTCTTGCTCTGCATTCTTATCCTTTATGAGTGTCAATTTAATTTCATTGAACACCAACCATTTGGTAGCTTGCTATTCAGGGGAATTCTAGCAACTATTTTGAGAGTTCAATGTTCATTGATCATTATTTCAATGCATGTGTTGCCTGAGAAAATTGTTGGTTCCTTGGTAGGCATATATGAACAAGGAAACAATGAAGATGATTTTCCAAACGAAAAAACATGTTCAGATTCCTTGTTAAACTTTCTTCATGTTATGCATTTTAGAACACTTAAACATAAAAGACAAAGGTTGGTTCTGAACAAAAACTGGAGACATGTTTTGAACAGAATTTCAAATTTCAAAAAGAAATTTATAAACCATTCCTCTTCTATCAAGAACCGTAAAACAAAAACAAAGCAGTCAAACAAAAATGACAAGATAACAGTATGTTCAACAACAGAAACTTAAATAATTCAGTATCTTGTTTTCGGCTTGTCTGTGATATCTTTACCAGGGTTAATTATAATATATTTGGTTATTCCTAAAATTCAAATTTTCACTAAATTTCTGCACAACCTTTCAGATGATTGGTTAGAAAATGTGGTTTTATCTCATTCATATTTATTTTCCACACATCATTACCTTTACATGTCTTCAGTCATTTTTGGTAATATGACTATTAACAGTTTTTGCACTGCAATTCTGTTGGAAACTTTTCCTGCTTTAAGTGGTTCATACATATTATTAGTTTCAATACATCCCATATTACAAGAAATCTTACAGTTCTGCAGCCTTACAAGTCTCACATGTGTATATTTTATGCTGTTATATGTAGGAGAATATGGTTTGGTACTGTTATTATTTTTCTTTGGCTTTTTATTTCAGTTTACAAGTGAAACTTTTTTGCTTTGTAACTTTTGGTCATTTGGCACTTTGTTGGGGGTTTTTTCAATCTTTGAATACGTGCTTGTTGACTTGTTCAACATATTTTTATCTCTTCCTGGAAATTTACTGTGTTTTGTTTCACCATTTAAGCCCTATATGGTGCAAGTTTTTGTCAAAGACTGGTATGGAAAAACTCATATATTTCGACTACTACAAACTGCCACTGTATCAGATCTTGAAAAACAAATCTTAGTGAAATTCAAACTTTCTAGTAACAACTATTGGTTAAGCGGTCCAGGAGGAAATAAAATGGCCAATCAAGACAAACTTGTTGATCTCACCACAGTGCATATTAGAGGAAGGTTGCTTGGTGGGATCAACAAGTGCTGCATCAAGGGGTGTACAGAGGATGCACTATCTCAAAGAAGACTGCAATGTATGGCAGGGGTTTATGAATTGAAAATAGCACCTGAAAATCTTTGTCAAGCAAATGACATCCCCTTATTTGTCTGTAACCATCACGAGTATGATTACAGACTGAATTGGATGACACGATGTCCTGTTACCAATTAATCAAAACTATGACAAAATTCAAGAAATGAACAAACCATCGATTGAGCGCTGAACGATTAAACATCGTTATGAATGCTGAAAAATACATTAGTTTACTCAACAAAGTGCACCAAAACTGCGCCCGCAAAATGACGCGTACTGTCCAATTACAAGCATGACACATATACACTGTCCAATTAATGCTCAAATCGGGCTGCTGATAGCCAATCACATTCGAGAATTTTGTTATAGTTTTGATTAGGCAGGAAATCACTTTGAGATCAAACCAAGCTATAGCAAGAATTTTTTCAGCCCATCCACAATGGTGCAATCACAAATGACCTTTGTGCATTATTTGATGCATGTATATGAGAAAGCCATTTTTCTTTATTTCTTGATCAATTAGAAGGTAGATGCCATTTAAACATTGATGAAATAATGAACAAAGGTCTGTTGCTACAGAGCTACATTGTATCCCCCACCAGATTAACAGAAGATGAGGTGTTGAAAACAGGTCTTTGGAAGGACTACAAAACACTGTGAAAACAATCACCAGTGGCCTGTGTTCCCACAGCATCTCTAAATACCGAAATAGTTGAATCAACTAATTAAGAATATAAATAGAAGAATTTCAGATTGTCTGATTGCACCCAAGTATGAAGTTTGATAGAGAAACACTGGTAAATCATTGTTTGAAGAAAATTTAATTACAATTAATATTATAGTGAAACCTGTATCAAGTGAGCCCCATATTGAGCGGACACCCTCTATTAAGGTCATTCCCCAGTATTGCATTGCCTATAATTTCACGCATGGTTAGCATGCCCACATTAAAAAATGGCAGCTTTTTCTTTGCGGCTGGACCTTGCCATAGAGGTAAATCGTCATTTTCTCAAAAACGAGTATGGTGACCTATCATTTTTTTCTGTTGTGTTGAATTGAGTAATAAATTTCTCTGTGTAAAATAAATATAGGCCAATTCTCAGTGTTGAGCAAGAAACAATCGTCGGAAATGTGAATTTAGCAAGCAATCGTGACTATAATCATGGTGCTATTGTAAGGATTTATATGGTATAAACAAGGTGCTGTTGTTCCTAAACGAACATGGAGACCCCTCATTTTTATTTCCAAGTTTAAGTTCCTACAATATAAACAGTCAATAGGCAAAGTTTGACCAAAAATCTCAGTGCAGGTTCTGTTTCAGTGGAATGACCTTAAGTGGACACCAGCTTGAATCCCAAAATGTTCCTCCTATTTACTGCAAAATAAACCTGCATTTAGAGGACACCTCTATTAAGCAGATATGGACACCAATATTAAGCCATTTTGTTGCACAAAACCTGCAACAAGCAGACACTTCAAGGGCTTTCTACTTCTAAAAGCTCAGCTCAGACTCCTTTAACATTGTTCAGCAATATCGTTTCAATGCTAAGTAGATTATTCCAGATTGATGCATTGACTGACTCAACATTATGCTATGAGCAGTCTTTGATCTCACAGTGTCACATTCTGTTGCAAAAGGGTTAATAATTAGCTATTATAGCACAATATGTTAGAACCTGCTTAGAGCGGACATTAATAAGAGTCCCAAGGGTGTCTTAATACAGGTTTCACTGTATTGGATTGCGAGCTTAAGATTCCCATCAGGTGATAATTAATACCGTTGGTACAGACTCAAACTATCAGCTCAAAGAAATATTGACCTCATAGTCCAATTGATGAATAGAAACAATGAAGATGTTCTCTATTTTATTTTTAATAGATAATAATACAACTTTAAACTAATTACAGGATAAAATTTATTTTTTACATTATTTTTTAAGCATTTGTTTATGAACCACTTCATGTAGAAGTGGGTATCAGGGGCGTACCTACAACAGGTAGCACCTTCACTTTGACACTGTGTGGACCCCCGCCCCCTTTGAAAAATCCTGGCTACACCCGTGGGTATGTCAAAAGAGGGGGTAAAGTTAAGGGCCAAGGATGTTACCATACCATCGAGAGTTACATTGTTAGTAACTAAACAGGCCAACCCCCTCTTTTTGAGCTGCCCCCAAAAGTGGATCCCCAGGCCAGTATTGTAGTTCAGACAATACAGAGGAATGTGCAATTAACCACTGGATGACTGAAGGAAAGTTATAAGACACGATTAGTCGGAGAATTGGT